AAACATAATCTATTATTTTTTTTAGAAAGAGTGACGTTCGAAATTTTTCTGATTTTAATAAGATGAATGAAGGAAGACTTTCCTTCAGTTGCTGTGTGTATCAGTTTATATATAGCCGTGAACTGGACTAAAGCGGAATGCGCTGAAGATAACTTAAGAAAAGATTAACTAAGCTCTAACTTTTTATAGCTTTCTTAAAGATATTCTCTTCTCTACAAAATGGATATTTCAGAAAATCGAATGCATTTTCTATACAATATAAACTCTGTGTTTTTTATTTACTATAAAATACTCAAGAATTCTATACTAGTCCGAATAATCACGACGATAGTGATATGCTCTTTCATTTCGTTTTAACTAAATTATTCTGGGGAAACCAAAAAAAATTAACGCTTAGTTAACTAACTTTATACGTTGCAAGATGATCTCTCTCCGTTCTATAGAAGTCTGAATCTTTTCTTTCATTTCAACGTCAAAATCAGTTGGAAGTTTAAGCCTTTTTTCGATAAGCGAAGAAATTCTTCGCATTGGTTAGCAAATCTAGGGATCATATTTGGGATTCGAGTATTTGTTAATAAGATAGACATTAAAAAAGAAAAGAGAAATCTTCATCAACCTCATAGTGAGTAGGCACGATTCTCCAGCAATGTTGGAGTTTTCAGACTTCTGATTGATTAAGATCGAGAGTTATGAATTAATTATGACCAATGGCATTTCCACTAATTAACTCATATCTCATATAATGGCGCATGGGCACAAATCCTTTGGAGGCTATTCGTGCCTTAGTGGTGCCTATCTATCCAGAAAATATCAGTTCAAAAAAACAACGGCTTTAGTCACCTGGGAATATTTCTCGTTAATTCACAGTCCAACAAAAAAATAATAGATTATGTTTGGAAATGCATAAGTAATTTTGAGATTGAAATGTTTTTCTCTGGAATAAACATTCGATTATAAAATTTCAAACTGTATATTGGGTTCAAGGAGCCTTCAGTTGCGTTGTTCACATCAGGCATGGCCACATATACAACTTCGATCCTTCTCAATGAAATCCGATGATTTTTTTAAGGTATATTCAAAAGTAGTATTATACGCTCATTCTGGGGGACGAGGATCGAGGGAGGTTTGTCGGGTAAAGAACATGAATTAGTTCACTAAACTTTGATAACGCCTTCTCGTACTGTGGCAGTGATCATCGTCGCAGTAACAACCCAAAATAGAAATCGTTATTAGCGTTAGAAGTGAACCAGGTACCACTAATATACACACGCTAAAAAAATGCGGCTTCTAGGAAGACACATAAGTCGGATCCGCAAAACCCGCATTTTAGTATCTTCGTTGAAGATACACGATGTGACTTTACCTGGTAGGAAGATTATTTACTTGGTAATACTTGGTAAGAAGAGTATTTTAGAATGTATACCTGGAAGATTGCCCATCGATTGTGTCACCTGTTGAACTTAGGTGACTAATCACGACGATAGTGATATGCTCTTTCATTTCATTTTAACTAAATTATTCTGGGGAAATTAAAATAATTAACGCTTAGTTAGCTAACTTTATATGTTGCAAGATGATCTCTCTCCATTCTATAGAAGTCTGAATCTTTTCTTTCATTTCAACGTCAAAATCAGTTGGAAGTTTAAGCCTTTTTTCGATAAGCGAAGAAATTCTTCGCATTGGTTAGCAAATCTAGGGATCATATTTGGGATTCGAGTATTTGTTAATAAGATAGACATTAAAAAAGAAAAGAGAAATCTTTTGCAATTCTTAAAACTTCACAGTCGGTAAGAAATTGCACTCAAAATAGAAGTAAAGATGTGCCTTTGGAAATCAACACGCTTTACAAATACTACAAAATTCTACGCGAGAAATAGAAACAAAATGTTCTTTCTGCTTCTGGATTTTGGATTTGTAATATCCGTATATTGTTAAATTATTGACAGATATCTTGTATATCAATTTTTTGCTGAATATAAGCTATGCTCCTGTCAATCGACATATTGTCTCTCTCCGTCTGAAGCGCCTTCATGTATCTCATCGTAAGAAATTGATTGCTGATTTGAAATATGTCCATTACATGTCCATCACTACAGATTTTTTGTCGGATCGTCAAATGCGATCATTTCTAGTAATTACTGGGCATTATTTCAAAGATGATGGTTTCGATTTAAAATCGACAATTTTGGATTTTTCTACATTTGATAAACGACATACATCCATCACATGAAATACCGCGAATCTTGACGACAAAATTAAAAGAACTCAATATTTTACACAAAGTTATTCGTGTCACTTGTGATGACGCGAGTAACATGGTGCGAGCTGTTGGTGACCTAAATTTAGAGTCAAGATGGCTGTGGTGTGTAGCACATCGTCTTCATCTGACTGTTACAAAAGCTTTAGGATTTTGGATTAAGAAAAGCGGAGATGAAAGTATCTGTATTGACGAAGCAGGTAATATTAAGCTTTGAGCACTTGTCCTATCGAGCTCATATCGAAATACGAAAGAAATACCAAAAGAAAAATAGAAAGAGTGGAAAAACAACGGAATTCCGACAATCTTGTTTCTTATTGATCGGATCTTTTTTTTGCAGTAGCGATAAAATTCTCTTTACTTTTCACGTTTTGGTTTTTCAAAATGTATTATGCAAAATGAGTGTATCTTTTTTTTTCATACAGAAGAATACTCCTTTGAGTTTTTATGTTTCGAAGTATGCTTGAACTTTGTAAAAGCCCCAGAAAAGAGATCTAATAATTCTTCAAAACTTGTGCTTTTATGATTAGAAAGATGCAGCATGAGTTTTCTCATTACTTATACATTTTTTTTAGAAACAGTGACCTTCGAAATTTTTCTACAGATTCTACAGATGATCACGAGGAGGAAATGTTGGATTGTGATTCATTGCAATCATTAGATGGTATGGAGATAAGTGATGAGTGTGATATGGACGAGAGTGAGATGGAGGAACTAATCGAAAATTCTAATAATGAATGTGAATTCATGGATCTTAATGATGATGAAATAATAGACAATTGGACTGAACATGTAACTGAATCACATGTTGATATTGCTCCAGATCAAGATATTATTAATATTCTCATTAACAAGTGTCGCGGCTTGATTTCAATAAGAAAGCGCTCCACTATCATAACTTCCTATTTCAATGCCGAAAGAAAAAAATTACGTATTAAGAAAAATTTATGTCAAGATGTGAAATCTCGTTGGAATAGTACGTTTTGCATGATAGACAGTTTTCTTGTACTTCGTGAAGTTATCGAACGATTATTGAATTCTAAGCATCATTTACATCTTGAGTCCAAAACAATTACAAAATTAGCCGAGTTGGAATTGACAAGTGACGATTGGACAATCTTGTCACAGCTACATTTTGTTCTCCAACCGTCTTTTCATGCTACTAAAGTAATGTTGGGTCGTCAATACCCGTCTTTTGGTTTTGCCTTCTACGTACTCATGCGCCTCAAAGGTTTTCTTCAAGATCACCCCAAAAAAGAAAACTCCATCGCCAAGCGTTTGAAACAATTATTATTGACAAAGCTATTATTTTATTTTGAAAGTGATAAAGAACAATTATATTTGTTGAAAGTAAGTGGGCTATAGAAATGAGAAGGCTACCTCTTTATTTAAGACTTTTTGTTTTATAAATATCATTTGAGTTTAGACTATTTGTTCATAAGTAGCATGTCTTTTAATAACTTTTACTTTACTCCATTCTCAACAAAGCGGTGGAAGAATTTCAAAAGAGATAGAATGATGTTTTTCATTAAACTGTTTATTGCAAAACTTTTAAAAATAGATTAGTGGTAGGAAAGAATAGAGATTGCAAATAGATTCATAATAGTCTTAAAAGGTAATATGTGACATTATTTATATTAAAAATTATGGCAATAAAAATGATTCAGAAAATTGGACTCACGACTTTAACGCTTATGTCTAACATGGTATTTTTCTCTCTATGTTTAGATGCATTATATCTCGATCCTGCAGGGTATTCCATACTGAATGAGAAAGAAAAACGGTCGATCGAACAAAATTTAAAAGCAATGATGATATCTCTCATGAAATCCAAACGACAACAGCCTCATCATCGACTACCACTACTACAAGAACTATGTCACACACTGAAAAACCTGTTAAAAAGTCGAAACTGTCTACTTTGGATGCTTTTCATGAGCCGTTTTTGGATTTTACTATATTTGCGCGTATGGGTTAAGTTGTCGGCATAGTCTGATATAATATTAAGCTTTCAGTGATAGCACAGTTGTAATTTTCAAATCTCCAAAGTCGGTAAAAAAAGGTCAACCTAATACAGTTGCATACGTTTTCTTCTTTTTTTGTTTTCAGCAGTTATAACGAGAGAAACTTGACAAGAAAAATATCTCAAGGTTTGTTTCCATTTACTTCACATATACACGACTTTTTTCTTCTTTTCGCGGAACTCTGTTCTTTCTTTTTTTCATCAAATTCACACAGAAAAAAACGAATGTTAAAAACAAAATGCTTGAAAGTTTATTTACATTTAGCTGACATACAGAAAGAGAATAGTTTTCTGGTCAAACTTGTTCTTTCATTCAACGTCTAAAAAGTTGATTGCAAACATTATGGTTGCTGAGCAGGATGATGATAGAGATCTATTCTCCTACAGTATTCGTAATGAAAAAATGAAATCATTGCGTAATGTTACAAAAAATAATGCGCAATTTTTATAAACAACATTTTCCTTCTTCTTTGCTGATACGGAAGAAGTTTCACCAAACAGACATTTTGTCATCTTATCACAAGTGCAGAATGGTATTTTCTAGTTATGTTACAAATCCCAACCCAAACCCAAGCGACCTGGGTGTATTGGGTTTGGGTACCCAAGTCTAAGACTTTGCGATTTTTTCATCTTCTTACATTAATTTTAAAATATGGATTCAATCAATCTTCTTTTGGGCAACTTACACTATTATATTTACCTTTCACTCTCTCACTCTCTTTTAAATGATAGAACATTCAGAAGAGAATCAACCAAAACGAAGAAAGTCTAAAGTGGACCTTAGGATCTTAAACTATAAATGATAGAAATCAATAAGCTCTAACTATACCTGAGCGCATAGTAGGAAAATATGAATGATAGGAAATGTCTATAGAAACTTCGCATTTTCACACGAACTGCAAGGGTAAAAATGCGTACTGGTATTACGGAGATTTGTCTACATTCCTAAAAGATTTTGTCACACATGATGAAGTGCAACATAGAATAACTACGCATAAAGAATTCGGTGCCGGCGAGAACAAAAATCTGTTCTTTTATAAAGGCTTTCTAATTTGGGAAAGTACTGTCAGCTGAAATCTGTTCTGTACATGTATTTAAGACACTGAAAAATAACGATGATATTAGCAAAATAAATAGCATAAAAGAACTCAACTTTTTTAGACATTTCGGAGTATTTACTTTCAACAGGAAATATTTATTTATTATTTATATAGATTATAAAAGGTCTGCAGAACTAAATGTCATATTAATGACGAACATTCGATTGTTATTGTTGTTTATATTAATTTCCTAAATTAGTGTAATTAATTTAAGAAAACCAGATTGACATTTTTATTTTCTCTAGTTTTAAAGAATATTTTTATTCAAATAACTTTGCACACATTATAAACGCAGTCGAGATTAATTGAATTCAATCAGAAGTGCTTGAATCACAAAGTAGTTTACGTATTATATTTAGAAGATTTCAATTTCGGTTCGCTCGCACAGGAAAGGAATAATATTCTCCATCTTTGTCATCCACAGTCTCTTGACCTCTCTGTATTGCAGACACTGCTAGTTTAATAGTTCCTTCGTACTTTGATAAACTGTAATCATCTGGATCCCGCCTTTTTAGTTCCAAAATCATTTGATATTTATCTTCATTGACGGCATTATAACAACGATAGCATCCTTTAACTTGCTGAGTAGTTTTCCAGTCATCGTCAGTGTACTTACAATACACATCAACAGGTTCAGTATGCCGAACACCGGCTACAATAAAGATTTCACGTGGATTATCAGGACCAACATCAGCCCAGTCACTTCTCGCACCCATTACTGCGTATTCATAAAGAATTGAAAATGAGGATGCTTCGTGTCGCGATTTTCGCTGCTGTTTTTCAAGTGCCATTTCCGACATTGCTGGCGCTTGAGAATTAGAAAGAAGTGAAAGTCTCTTGTATGTGAGAATTGAAACAATTCTCTATTCGAAATACACCAAAATAAAAAGAAGGACGCAAAACAAAAATATCTCTACGAAACTACTTCACCTTTGTTTAAGACACTTTATTTATGATCTAAAATTATTTCAACATTTTCGTATGAATCATAGTAACGAGATTACAACAGTGTTTCGAGGGTATTACTAAAAACGCGGACACCCACCGCACCCAAATTAAAATCTAAATTAGCCAATCGATAGAGCTCGTCAAGCTGACCAGGAAAGTTCCCCAAGTGTGCAATCGCTTTTTTTTCGAAATTTAGTGGACAATAGGTAATCGACTATGCTAAATCCGAATATGACATCCGTTTGGGACCTTAGGCCTCCAGACACCGGATTTCCAGAAAATCAGTTTTTCAGAAACTCTGAAGCATAACAAAAGCCTTTCTTAATGAGACGTGATTGTAGCCCGCAAATTTCTGATTAAAATGAAACATCTCCCAGCTCTGCATGACCTTTCTTTGCAAAGTTATAGATTTTATAAGAAAAGCCCTAAATTAATTTCTTCTTATTTCTGTAGCTTTGAGCTGACAATGAACATTTAGGGCTTTTCTTGTAAATTCTATAATCATGCCTCATCAAGAGAGGCGATTGTTATTTTTTAGAGTTTCTGAAAAACTGGTTTTCGAGAAATCCTGTCTCTGTAGGCTTCAGGGCCCAAACGGATGTCATATTCGACTTCAGCATAGTCGATTACCTATTGTCCACTAAATTTTGAAAAAAAGTGATTACATGCTTGGGGACTTCCTCGTGAGTATAGCAACGCCTAACAAACACCCAAAATTATTTTTTTGATGTACAGTTTCAATGAACACCCAGTGAGCCTCCCAATACCCCACCCTCACCCACAGCCTACCGGTAGGCTCAGAACAATCTGGAGATGAATTTGGCACACGTTTTTGGGTATTCTTATCCTTTCTTATGGGTGTTCATTGGAACTGTATGCTTAAAAAGCGAAACTATAAAAAATATTTCGGGTGTTCGTTAGGCGTTGCTATACTCAGCTCGACGAGCTCTATCGATTGGCTAATTTAAATTTTAATTTGGGTGTGTTCGTGGATGTTTGCGTCTTTTAGCAATATCTTGGTTTCGATAATCAACCTGAGTAGTATACAAAACAATCGTAAAAACATCATACTTTTACAGCATTTGACATATCAAGCATGGATATTTAGTAAATAAAAGAACGTAAAAGCAAGAAAAGAAGGACGAAAAGAGGTCTTAAAAATGTGTAAAATCGTTTTCTCTACAAAATGTGATCATGACAAGGTCGGGAAAGCAGTGGGCCGAAATCAATGAAAAGCGGGCCCTCTCCTTTCCAGTCAAGGAATAAATATGTTATGTTGGTCAGATATTGAACACAGTAATAGAAGCAGACGGCGACATCAAGGCTATGGATTCTGTTTCTGTATTTGTCATTTCTCTTTCACTGTTCTTGTAATTTTTTACGGTGCCGATCGTCTGGTCAGACAATATAGCTGAACAATTACAAGCACCGATGTTATTAAAGTGCATTTTTGATGACCTTGCTCAGTGAGTATGATGAGACATGAGCTCGACACACTCTTACACTTTACAGCCAACTATCTCATTAGACGGACGGCTCTTAGAAATGATTTATTTATGTTTGCAGGAGCAGGCAGGTGACTTAAACTTAGTCGAACCGTTTTAAACCGCTATCGCTCGCTTTTTCCCTTATCTTAGGAAAAATGGGAGAGCAAGTTAAGAGACACTTGTTTCAGCCGAAAAATGCCCTTATAACCTGCTCGACGTCGGGAAAACTTACTGCTTCATTGGTTAAATATTGGAGAGGTAACTGTTTTCTTCCATTGGTTGGTCTAAATGTTTGCTGCTACCCAGGACAAATTCGCGAAGAACTCTATCAACCGAAAAATTGCGGCGGTAAAAAGGTCACACGTTTACAAATACCACAAAATACAACTGACGAGCTACAGCCACTGGATTGTTATTTCAACAGACAAATTAAAAGTTTCCTCAAAGCATGTTATCATCCTGTAGCGTTGGATGAACTAGATATACACTTACACGAACGAAATAACATCATACGTTTAGCCAGTTTAATGCACAATCAATTGAGCGCAGATGTATTCACGCCAATGATTGAATACGCTTGGTTCTCCAGTGGCTTAATACGTGAAGATCCTTCTCCATTTGTCACCGTTAATCAAGTTTGCTTTGCAAGTTCAGACCGTCATATACAGTGTGAAGAAAAAGACTACGATGTGTCTGTTTTTATAACGTGTGCTCGATGTTCGAAGAAATTGTGCTTTCAACACGTTTTTACCAGTTATCATTTCCATTAAAAACACAGCAAAAATTTTTACGAATCATGACTCTGTGAAACTGCTTTATTGCCACCTTTATCACAAATTGCTAATAACATGTGTGAAAAAACAGAACAGAAAGAAAAACAGTAGTTTTTCTTCTATAAACTGTGTAAGAATATTAGCGGTTTTTCCCTCTTTTTTTAAGTTTTAGACGCAGAAGACTAGCTCAAAATCTCGCTTAGAACCTTGAAAAATGGTTTTCTGTAGGTTTCACGACGTGCTCTTTCATTTGGACAGGTCAAGGAAATGTTTTAGTGAAAATGGTTTTTCGATTGAAAAACTAAGATCTTTAAAAAACGGGTCTTTAAATCGAAGGCGGGCAAAAACCATTGTGGTATTCGGAATCAGCACGTTCGATTACATATTGACAACTGAGTTTAAGCTCAAAAGCGAGGAGGCAGTTGGTGGCCTTCCCTCGTAAGTGCTTTTTCATAACTGATTGGGAACAACTTTCCTGGATATCTGAACATATTAATCGTAACATGCCTAAACCCGAACAGGATATGCTTCCTCACGTTTTCATGAAGATAAATGATATTAAGGTTAAAAGGTTGGAATCCACTGTACTCTGGAACCCAATATTATTCGTCCCAATGTACTGGACGACCAAAATTATTGGTCTCAATATATTGGATATTACGATTCTGTTGCATTTTGTGACCTTTGATACTTTGAAAAAGTAATTTTATTTCCACAAACTATGCTCGTCTAAACGCTTCTATGCTTTGCATCTTCATCACTAAACACGATAAATTAAAAAGAGAATTGCTATGCATACTAAAAATTATTATAAAGAGATGTGATTATTTTTCGTGTCTGATGTTTAAAAACTTTTTATTCCCTTTTTATTTTATCGTGTCTACTGATGAAGATGCAAAGCACCGAAACGTTCAGACGAACATAATGTCTGGGAATAGAATTATAATTTGACAGTAACAAAAGTCACAAAATCTCAATATATTGAGTGACCAATATTATTGTATACCCAATACACTGCTACCAATAATATTGGTAACCCAATATATTGTGATCCAATATTTTTCGACGAAAACTGAATGAAACGGAAACTTGATAGCACCCCTCGAAGCGTTTGAGACACTTTCTTCAGCTTTTATAAAAATCTAATCCAACACTTCTCTTCATCAAGTTTGTTCTGGAACGGCAGAGAAAGATAGAAAAACATTTTCTCAGTCTTTTTCTACGTCGTCTACACAACATAAGATTTCACCTGATACACATTCATTACCGCAGACCAATATTGTAGTCGACCTTCACTGGTCATTTCAGAAGAGTCGCAAAACTCGGGTGATTAAGCCAGAAGAAGTTCTAAAGGAAATAAGTTTAAATGTTAAAACAGCATTCCGCATTTGAAACGGTAGTTTTCAAATGAATTTTTCCACTAAACACACTGGCAGCTGGAATCCGTGTTTTTCATGTGTTTTGATACACGATCGATAAAACTATAACAATAAAATCTGGTCTAGGAAATTAAGAAATCCTTTCACAATTACTTCGACACGTACGTGTTATTGACACAAGTAGTCACATGCTTGTCGGATCGTTTTACCAGGGTAACATGAATTACAGTCTTGACATTTTATATCATATACTATGTTCGATTGCAAAGCCCGAGGTATTTTATTCTTAAAATTAAATGAATTTCGAACCGAAATTGGTGGTTTCTCAATAATCGTCATCTGTAATTCGGGCCTAATTTGACTAGTAAATTTTTGTAAATCATTTTTTAACATTCTACTGCTATTTTCAATAAATAGAACCTCTATTAAAATTCTCTTTCTCTCATCAACATAGATTTTCTTCTTTGTGTTGGGACTACTGTACCACTTGCATAATTGCGTGCCAATTAATTTATCAACAAAGGAGATCGGATAACCATTTTTTATTGCTATATTTCTAATGTTATTTAGTTCACCATCAAGTAACTGTTATGAAGAACAAACATTAATTGCTCGATGAGTCATAACGATGATAACGGATCGTTTGTATGGTAACGGTACATATGAATTTCATTTCAAAATGAGACCAGTAAAGGTGCTCTTTCGAAAAATGGTTGTCGAATAACCAAAATCTGACCTGATAACGTGAACATCAAGGAATGGTAGCTAATTATTTGATTCTATTTCATAAGTAAATTCGATGTTGGGATGAAAACCATTTAATATTGATAAAACATCATCAACAGAGGCATTTGTAAACGTGTCATCAACATACCTTCTCCAAAATCTTACTCCGGTTTTGTATAGCTCATTATGCAGAGATTCCTCAAGATGTATCATAAAAATGTCAGCAATGATACTTGCTAAAGGTCCACCTATACTAACACCATCAATCTGTTCATATAACTGTCCATTAAACATGAAATGTGTGTCGGATGTACCTAATACTAAAAGGATACGAAAGTCATCCTTATCAATACATTTGTCACATTTCTTCTTCCGACTTAAACAAGAGCCACATTTTCCGTAT